AGGGAGGAACAAGGGAAAACAGAGGGTTTTCCCCATGGACCGACCCGTGACGAGATCCTATTCCCGGGCCCATAACAGCACGCCTGGTCCGCCTAGGTGTGCGCCTGATGTGCCTTGCACCTCAGACCAGACGTGTGCCTATTGAAAATTTCACATTTTTTTTCCTTTTTTTGAAACTAGCAGCTAGGTTCGGGGCCCCATACCACGCCCCTCGAGGCAAACCGAAACAAGTCCATGTTAGGGTCCTAAATTCTTAGTTCTCACACAAAAAAAAAATAATGATTTTATAATTTTAATTGCTTTTTAAGAAAATATTTTTTTTGATCAATTTAAAAATATATTTTATTAGGATTAATGAATGAACAACATTAGCAAATAGGGGGTACCGAGAACCCCCAGACCCCCAATCCAGTTCACTCGCTCACTAAAGCTCTAAGAACCCCCTATTTGCTAATGTTGTTCATTCATTCACCCTAATAAAATATCTTCTTAAAAAACAATTAAAATTATAAAATTGTTATTTTTTGTATGAGAACTAAGAATTTAAGACCCTAACATAGACTTGTTTGGGCATTTATCAAAAAAAAAAACATGGACTTGTTTGGGCTTGCCTCAAGGGGCATGGCACAAAGGCAGCTTGTAGAATCAATAATGTAATATGTTTAAAATCACATTAGCCACTTGAAGTAATGCAATTGAGGAAAAAAGAGATTATGGGTTTTGCATGCTTGAAAATGCTTTATATGTTTGATTTTATTTTTAAATTTTCATTTGAATACACTTTACATGTTATGTTTATGTATTTTAATTTTAGATAATAGGTTTTTTAAAACATTTATTTTAAAATTTAAGTTTACATTTTTATCAATATTATGTTTAATATTTTTGTTTTTGCTTTTTTTTATTTTTTATCTTTTTTTTGTATTTTTGTGTCTTGCTTCAGAAAGGTGTGTGCCTCACCTTGAGCGCAAATTGGCCCATGCGCCTTGCACTTTTAAAACACTGGATAGCAATTGATGATATTATATTGTAGCAAGTCTGTTTAGGTGGAACATTCACTAAACCTGATACAAAACCTAACCTCAAATTTTAATTTCCTTTTATTGTTTAGATGATTTTACTTGTTAATACTCCTTAAATATTTAACATCAAGTCACTTTTATGATAAAAAATACACAAATATTTTCTTATAAACCTTGCCCCCCCCCAACGAGAATTCCTGACTGCACCCCTGCTGTCACCCATAGATACATATGTCCCGGAGCAAAATATTATCTTTCAATATTCCAATATTTTTTATCAGCATGTATAGTGGTACTTCTATAGGTTTTACCACTTTGTACAGAAAGGCATGAAAAATGTCAAATAAGGCACCAAATCATTTAAACGAAGTTTGAGAAAACACCAAGAGCAAAAGAGGACCATGCTCCGACAAGCATTATAATAATTCCTGAGGAATTCAAGATGCTCAAACTGAGTACATTTACATAAGTCCATACAAAGTGTCAGTAACCAGGCAAGGGGGACAAGTAGGAAACGAAGTACCAATCAGAAAATATTTTGAGCACTAATTCTTCCACAAGTATCTCCTAGAAAATAACCTGCAAGCTTTAACCATGACCAGAAAGTCAAATTTATAGTTAACCACAATTTATTATCTAAAATTTTCCTCATTCAGAATTCGATTGTCTTTAGCTAACCTAAATATCCTAGCACTCACAAGTCCACTTTCTCTTACATAAAACCACTGAATATGAATAAATTATGCAACACTTTCTCTTTGACGATAGTATACCTAGACATCATATATACAGGCTACATCCCAAACATATAAATAATGCATCCTTCTCCGTGAATTAAACTAGTGAAAAAGCAAGACTTATAAAAAATGAAAGAATAAAAGTTAGCACTATAACTGTAGTGTATGAAGAAAAACATCAAGTGCTGATGGATAGTGAACAAGAATAGACCATACCATCCCCATTTCCAAGTAAACAGCTGCCCTGTTAGTGATGAAAGAAATATCTTCATCATCTAATTCCATTGCCTTGGTGTAATGCTGAATAGCCGTCTCAAAATCTTTCTTCTTGTAGGCTGCATTTCCTGCTTCCTTCTCCTTCAGAGCCTGCGCCTTCCTCTCCTTTGCCTCCTCCTCCTCCGTAAGTTCCATTGGTTCAGGCTCATGTTTCGGTTCAGGCTGCTTCACCGATTCAGGCTCTGGGTGCCTCTTGGGCTCAGGCTCCGCCTCCGGCACCTCCATATCCTCCGGATTTTGAGTCTGCATTTTTATATTAAGTGCAACCCCCAAAGCTTGCATCATCCTCTGATCCTTCAAGTACAAATTCAGATTGTTGGGGTTTTTCTGAACATCCTGAACCATCTTCACGAAATCAGGCTGCTGGAGAAAACCCCTGGTCGTGGGATCAGCCGCTAATTTCGCCCACAACTCCGGCCCTCCGAATATATTCCCGAACGGCGATGATGACGAGGGGGGAGGCCCGCGCGATCGAGATGCAGCCGACTGTGCATCAGCGAGACCCGATTTCAAAGCTTCGTTGTTTGGGTCAAGCTCGAGACCTTTCTTGTAAGCAGAAATAGCCTCATCGAAACTACCAAGCCCAATGTGAGCCGCACCAAGACGGCTGTAACCCTTTGACCAATCGGGCTTAAGCTCAACCGTCTTCTTGGCATCGGCGAGGGCTTCTGAATAATGGTGGAGAGAAGCGTGAGCCGCAGAACGGTTGGAGTATAGGACATGATTTGTCGGGGCGATACTGATTGCTTCGGAGAAGAAACGAATAGCTTCTTCGAAACGACCTGCGGAGAAGGCCGCGTTTCCTTTGGCTTTGGCTTCTTCCGCCATGCCCAAAACCCTAATCTAGCTGTGTAAGAACTACAAAATTTGAGATGTTTCTGAAAATCGGATTGCGGGAGCACTCGGAGAGTCTTTTTATTTCTGGAGAGAGACGATTGTTATTTGTTGGTATTAAAAGGGTGGAACGAGAGAGAGAGAGAGAGAGAGAGAGAGAGACAGAGAGTTGTGAGAGGGGAGTTCGAGCTTTCTAGGACTAGGAGGGATCTATTGACATTCTGGAAGGTTCGGAAGTCGCAACTCGCAAATGGAGAAAAGAGAAACCGCTGCGCCATTTCGCATTTAGCGTGGGAAGGGAAATTAAAAACGAGTGAGCACGGCCGTTACCCGTCAGTGAGACCGGACCGGCACAGTTTTTAGGACTCCGATTGGATCGGGTCGAACCGGAAAGTCGGACCCTTCGGGCTGTCACCAATTTCAGTTTTGATTTGAAAGCAAAGATAGGAAAAAGAAGGAAATGCCATTGGTAAAGGTAGGAAAACGTATAAACATAATTTTAAAAAAACGATTCAGAAATGAAACCGTTCTGATCACCGGTTTTTGGGTTGATGGTTCGATCGTATAATCGGTCCATTCTGATAAATAAAAAAGAATACAGGTAAATGTATTTATTTAAATAAATTTTAAGAAAAAATATTCTCAAATTAAACGCATTTACCCAAATAAATAATTTATCTATATAAAAAAAGTTTCTATATTTTTCCTCCATACTTTTACACCTGCAAATGCAAGTCTTTTCAAATTATTTCCCTATCATTAATCTCTGTAGCTATGACCTTGGGTCCCACTTTATAACCTCAACTCCCATGAAATGAGACACTGTAGCGTTATAATGGAACAGTGTTCCGAAGTACTAGCATGCATAACCCTGTCATTTTTCAATGAAACCGTATGAGAGGCCTAAACTTATTCGGCTATTAATCATTTCATATAAATATATGTACCTCATATTCTGGGGCCGACATAGTGGATTCATCTTCATTTGGCAATCAGGAGATTTCTTTTTAGTAGGTAATTTATCCCTCAACAATACATAATTAAACCATTTTAGTTATGATTGAACTTCAATTCTACATAATTTTTTGAGTACTTTTTGGTAAAAAAATTTTGAGTAAATTGAAAAGCAGTTATTTATCCGTTTTTTTAAAGACTAGATTAACAAAATATATTACAGCAAATTATCAAAAAATTACATGTGCAAGCAGTCTTCCAACCACACGGGAGGTTCATCAAACCATCCATCAAAATGCTGTTCTTTACCATATTATGCTAATTTATGGGTAGGGTAATTGAACTTCTAGAGACATATATGAAGTTAACAGACCCAATATCTTTATAGCCTTGGCTTCCTAATTTATAATATAAAATACATGGTTTTGGTGCAAATCATAAAAGTTAAATTTTATTGTATAATACTAACTCATATCTTTACCATAGTTGTCAAGGCGCCTAGGCGACCACGGGGTGCTTAGCCACCTAGGCGATGGAATTTGAAAGTATAAAATATATATCCCTACCCCTCTTAAGCTACTTTATTGGTTTTTATACTAATCAATATATCTATATGCTAGCTATTAGCAATAAAATCATTCAAATAAAACATAAAATGCCATAGCTAGCATTTAGACCAACAAAAATGGGGGATTGTAGATAAGAAAAGAGTGAAAAATAAAGGGGTGGAGCACATGCTTCATTCTCAACATAAGTTGTCCAAGAGGACGATGTGGATTGTATTTAAGGGGGTGGAGACCCTATTTCATGCTAAAAAAAATGGAGAAAGATTGTTAATAGTAAGAAAGAAGGAATACTAGTGTAATTTTAGGAAGGCGGAGGAGGAGAAGCCAAAGCCCCTGTTTCATCCCAAAAATATTTCAAGAAGAAAAAGGAGGAGGAAGAAAAAAATGTACCTGGAGGTCTTGGACTACTTGGACTGAACAATGGAAACTTCTCGGTTGTCGTTTTCTCTTCTCAACTCTCTGTTCAAAACTCAAAGTCTCAAACCAAAAGAAACTTACCTAGTTTTAATTTAAAAGAGAATTACTTTAATAAAAAATGACAACATCAACAAGGTGTATTCTAATAAGATAAAACAAACCAATAAAATGATATAATACATATGCACATTCAAAAAAATAATATAACATATATATGGGTGAGCGCCTAATACAAAAAGACCCAGACGTTGGGCAAGAAGACTTCTAAAAATTGCCTAGTCGCCTTGACAACTATGATCTTTACCTTTATTTATACATGTATCTGCACTTACACTAATGGTTTCTAATAAAAACAAAGATTGCCAAGAGACATCCGATATGATTCCAATTCTTTCGTTTGGCTTCTTTTAATGCTTCAAAATTTGAAAAGAGCTTTGACCATAGAAATTCCCAAATATTTATTTGGGCAAATTTTTTAAATTACCCTTACTGTTAAGCTAATTGACAAACTCTACGCTTATTGTTCATACATTATCTTAAAGTACCCCTATTGTTTCTCTAACAATTGACTAATTACTCCCCTACCATTAAGGTTTCATCACAATTAGCCATAATCCGCTCACATGCCACACTACATGATTGTTATACTTTGAGAAAATGCCAGTAATACCCTTCTCTTCACCCCAATGCTGATGCTCATCGAAAACGCGAGCATGTCAATGCTTGTCGTCTGAACCTCAGGAAGATTTGCTTTCTTTTATTCACCCCGGAACTTGTGCTTGCAAAGCTATATATGCTTCTTCCCAATATCTTCATTCGGTGAGAGAAATGGCAACTTTCATCCGAACGAAGCAGGTTACCAATCCACTCAAAGACAAAGTGAGAAGCAATTCGTTGCAGCTCTAACCTACGACGGTGACCCTCTGCAAACAACCACCAAGATACAGATATGCCACTGCAACTTCTCTCTCTTTCTCCCCATGTCACCGGCCATCCTTGTTTTGCTCTTCCAATTCTTCCTCTCTCTCTCTCTCTCTCTCTCTCTCTCTGCTCGTTGTAGCTCTAACCGCCAACAGTGTCCTTCTTCAAACAACCATTGAGATACAGATCTGCCACTGCAACTTCTCTCTCTCCCCTATCACCGACCAGCCCTGTTTTGCTCTTCAATTTCTTCCTCTCTCTCTCTCTCTCTCTCTCTCTCTCTGACTTCGGTTGGCATCCTTTGTGGCTTGACAATGAGAGAAGTAGGTGTGTACTATGACAACGACGTTCTTAAAAGTCAAACCAAGATAGGCCTCGGCATAGATGAGATCTCTTCAGCCACAAACTATTTCTCCTCACCATATAGGTTACCATGATAATAGAAACATCACCAAATTTCCTATGCTTTACATCGAAAGCAGTGTTGGTCGGGTTCATGGTAATTTGATTCTTCGTTGCATCTACAATCAATCGCTTAAGGCCAGTTCGTTTGCTCTGAAGTTTGACATCCAAAAGTGCAATTAATTACATTAAGAGGTATATTGCTATTGATGAACTTTTCTTTCCTCTAAACTCTAAATGCAAAGAATGTCGTTTTGAATTATGAAATTTATCAAATATTCATTTTGACCCCATATATGAGAGTTTTTGTTTGTCTTTTTGGGGGTATTATTGGAAAACAAAAAGTTGTATGATTGCACTTTAAGAGATAAGAGGATACGAACAACCATTTTTCTCTTAATGTTAAAAGATTCATCTTAAGATATAAGAGTTAAGAAGAAACGAACATGCCCTTAGTGTTTGTAAAGGCAACGTAGGATCGACTATGGAGTGGTGCTATTTCCTTGATCATTGGCTATAATCTCAACATGATAATGTTGCTATTCCCCAACACAGGAATAGGTTGTACTGAGATCGATTAAATAGTTAATCAAGTCCCGGTGTGGCATTCCCGGCCGACTTTGAGAAATTCGCAATGCAATGCAGGTCCATTAAGTTCGACACCATGTCTAACGGTACCAAAGGCCATTTTGTCTGGCTACAACAAATCGTACAATGGTTTGGCTTTGGATTTTATTTTGAAAATTTGAATCAAAATAAAGGGCAGATTTGACATTTTATTTTTTCCATTAGCATTTAACGATGATGAGAATTGTTAGAAACAATAGGGGTATTTTAAGACAATATATGAATAGTAAAGGTAGAGTTTGTCAATTGGCTAAACAGTAAGTGTAGTTTAAGAAATTTGCCCTATTTATTTTGATTAGAAAAACAAAGAAACCCAAATGAACCAATGTTAGCATCAATTGTATCCTCATCACGAAAAATGAAATATTGTGTCAAGGAGAAAATCAAATGCCTAGAGACCATATGAGAAGACCTGGGGGTGTCAAGGGACTGGTTTTCTATTGGATCCCATCCAAACTACAATCAATTTGGACAGATTGGACGGACCAACAAGACATATTGAATTGGACCAGTCCAGACTTAGTGGTCCTAAGTATTTATTGGATTGGATTGGACCTGGTCTATCTGTATTGAATTTATAATGGATTGGGTTGAACTGAGCCAAATTATGATCCATTGATAGAAGATAAAAACATAGGCATCAATGGACCAGGTTTGGATTAGAATTAATCTAAATTAAAACAAATTTGAACAAATTGAACAATCTAGACATTAAATTGGACCAATCCAAAATGATTCAAAATATTCATTGAATTGGATTGGACCTGATCAATTTGTAATGAACTCACATTAGACTGAATCGAGTTGGACCAAATCCAGTCCAATTGACACCCCTACTGAATACGCATATTCAATTCAATACTAAAACAATTATTATTTTCCCATTGAGAAAGAGTCCAGCAAGTTCGATAGATAATCCCCTTGTTATGCTAAAAAATGTCATAATTTTTAGCAATCCGTATATAGTATAAACCTACTGAGATCCATATGAGGAACTCCCGAATTTCATGCTTATTAGTCAAAGGCAATTCGAAATCTAATTAATTTATATTCGAATTGAAATCGAACCATATCATAGGATATCTAGCGGATTCAAATCGAATTTAGATTATAATCGGATAGTAAATAGTATAAATAAGTTAGATTAAAACAATCAAAATATTATATACTATTAATAAAATGAATTAAAAATAATTTTAATATTATATGTTATAAATAAAATGAATTGACATTTTCTTTTATAAAACTTGAACGTATGACAATTTAGTGAAAATACAACCTTCAGACCAACTCTAATGATAGATATAATATAAATTTTAAGTATATATGAATTTGCAACCCTAACTACTACGAAGTGCAAATTAGACAAACTGGTAATTACCTAATTATTTAACTCTTTCTCAATAGCAGGTAAACGATGCCAATACCACTGAGTCTGAAGGTAACCCATGCAAATTGAGTGCTCCTTTGCAGCCAGACATTTGGGGCATGTACCTCTTTAGGTTTTTCATACATACCTCAAATTTAATTTCTTTGGATATTTAGGATCATCTAAAATGAGATTATAAAAAGACAGTTAAATTTTTATGTCTTGGTTGTCCGCCTCTTTCATGAGCACATCTCTTCCTTCAATCTCTAGGATTAAATATGAATGCAGATTAGCTAAATGCTTTAACTGTTCAGTGGGCTATGGAACCAATGATAATGTTCCATGTCAGTAATAAATTCATGGGTCTCACTGTAAAAGATGCAGGCCCCATGTACTTAAATACTGACATGAAACCTTATCATTGGTTCCACAGCCGGCTGAACAGCTAAAGCGTCCGGTGTAACCTTGCTCATCAAATAAGATATGATCCAAAACTTGTCATATAAGTGGGAATTGGAAAAAAACAAAAAAAAAAAAGAACACATGTTCAAAGTTCAAACAACACTCCACTCCCTCACCTAGGGGTGTGAGGCCTAAGTCCAGACTTAATAGACCAGATTTGGATTAAACCCGTCCAAATCAAAATCAAATTGAATGGGTTGGACAGTCCAACAAGATATATTACATTGAACAAGTCCAGACTTAATGGTGATTGATTGACCTGATCCATTTGTAATGGATTTATATTGGACTGGATCTAATTAGACGTTTCTCACATACAGAACATGGTGGTTGGCATGTGAGGCATAAGTTAGAACGCCAGGAATTTGAACGGAATGGATGGTAAAGACATTGAATTGAGGCAGCTCAGAATGGTCCGAATTATTCAACGGTTTGGATTGGACCTGATCCATCTGTAATGGACTCATTGGGCCCAGTTGGGTTGGATCAATATCTTGTCCATTGACAGCCCTACCCCCGCACAAAACATGCCAAACCTAGGGCTGTTTGATTAACGGTTGAAGCAGAAGCTGCTGGACTGAATGACTTTTGCTTCATCTTTTAGTAAATACCCAACTTCAGCTTCAGCCATTAAGGAGCACACAACATACTTTAAAACCTTATTTACTAAGGCTATGTTTGGTTTGAAGGAAAAAATAGGAAAAGAAAAGAAAAGGTAAGGAAACCTTTACAAACCTTATATAGGTTTTGATATTTTCCCTTCCTTTCCTCATCTTTTCCTTCAAACCAAACAGCCTAAAAATCAAAGTTATAAACTTCTCAGTTCAGCCACTTCAATTGCTATTAAAAGTGTAGAAAAAAGAAGGATAAATTTCTTAAACTATCCTTATGGTTTAGCTAATTGACTATGTACCCTTATTGTTTGAAAATTGACTAATACTACTACTACTGTTTCTGACAATTGACTAATTCTACCCGTCCTTAGGCCTAAGCCCAATATTACTCTCATCCCCTAAGGCCTAAGCCCCCACTCTCTCCATTCTCATACCCCCTCCTCCACCTCTGTCCGTCTCTCTCTGGCCTCTCTCTCTCTCTCTCCATTCTCAGACCTCCCCCTTTGCCTCTGGTCTCTCTCCCCTTCCTTATGGAGATGGACGACCGAGTCGACGAGCATGCGCACGAGAATGAGAAGAGCGGTTTTCAATCCGACACGGAGACCAAAGACAAGGCAGCGACTATTGAGCAGCTACAGTACAAGTTCGCATTGTTCATCTCTTTAATCTTGCAACCAGAACAGGGGTGGCAATTGCAAGTTCTCTCTCCGATCTCTTCTTTCTTTTCCTCTTTTTCTCTCCTTCCACTTCTTTTTCTTCTTCCATAGAACATAGATTTGAGCACCTGCAGTACAAATCCGAGTATTGGAGAACAAAGAGTCTTTGATCTCTTTTCTCTCTCAAATCCACAGCTCAATAAACTCAACGCCTCCTTTCAAACTACCAACTACATGAAACCGGAAGCTGCAAGTTGAACGACAAAATTCCCGATCAGGCATACAACGACGGAGGAAGTTGCAGGTCAGTTATACAGCAGGGGCATGAAACCGGTTTCAGCCAGAAGTTGCAGTAGCACCGTCTCTGCTTCATCTCATTCCACCTCTTTACCTTTGCCGATGACTGCCTGCCAACTAGTTTTGGCTATGCCGGTTCCACCAGCCAAAGAAGGAGAAGAAAAAAAAAAGAAGAGAAAGTGTGAGAGAAGAAGAGAGATCAGAGAGAATTGCCATCGCTGCTTCTGGTTCGAGCAGAGGTCGGCAATGAAAAGTAATGTAACTCATTGCAGCGACACTCTCTGTTTTCGTTCAAAGAGGGGTCATCGCCACCGCATATTTAACTCATTGCAGCGGCGGATTTGAACACGATATAATGCCTTCTCTCTCTCTCTCAATACCGACTTCTCTCTTTCTCCCTCTCTCTCCTTCCCCTCTCTCCCTCATCTTCCCGATATTTTTTCCCACCCCTTCCCTCATTTATTTTTGCATTTTGGATCATTGTTCACCATCATCTTTAAACTCCCGAAGTTGAGCTAGACGTCATAGCGACGACAAATCATAGATTCTCCGGCAGGCAGAACAAATTATTTCCTCTCACTAAACTCTGTTATATCCCCGGTCGTCATTGCCGCTCGAAGCTAGTAGTCGATGATTGAAACTGATTGAAATCTCTCCCCTACTCCTCTATCATCCTTTGTTCCCATGTTGGCATTAATTCTCCATCTCAGGCTACATTAAATAAGTCTACTCTCGTTACTAGCTTGGCATTCATCAAATCCACACCCATGGTTCACAACGTTCAGCTCTCACAAGGCCTCTCTGCTTTATCCGTCATAAAATCCATACAGACAAAGGGGTCTTCATTGTTGTCGTTTCATCCCTTTGCTTTCTCCGCCATCAACTCGACGGTGTTCATTGTTGCTGATGTTATCAAAGGGCTTTTTAGGTGCAAAAGTGATGGGGATACAAGTTCTGAGTTCAGCGTTTCTTTCCCTTTTTCCTGTTTTACTTTGAAACTTTGAAGAATAAAGGGTAAAATAGTCTTTTTCGTCTCTGTTAACAGACGCTAACTGTAAGAGAAATATTAATCAATTGTGAGAAAGAGTAGAGGTAGCATTAATCAATTTTCAAACACTAAAGGTACAATTAATCAATTAGCTAAACCATAAGGGCAACTTAAGAAATTTATCCAAAAAAAACTAATCCAAGACCAACACTGTTACCTCCATTAACTTGAGCTTTCCAGCGCACATTGCCGTACAGAATAGTGCAATTCCCAGGGCAGAAAAGATGGTAGGAAAAGTGCCACTTCATCATTTGTCACATAGTTCAAGAAAGAGAAAAACACGCATCTCCAATTTTATTTTAAGATAAATTACAGATTGGCCATTCTTCGACAGTGGTGCATACATGTCTCAATGTTTAAAACAGCAGTCGCAAAATCATGGGATATCATACTCAAACCCAATTGGGCGTAAAAGAACATGTAGCTTAACAGCCCATTGATCACAATTGCTCCAAGAGTTAACGCTTGAATCCTACAAGCAGGTGATCTATGATGTGAAATGGACCCATCTAATCACTACTTGCTTCATTTGAAATGGTGCCAATCCATTCTCTGACATGACTGTATCATTAAGAGCTGGTTTCAGTTCTTATCCGCCGATTGTAACCTACATCAAACTGCTACTGAGCTTGGGGTGGTCATGCACTGAGCCAAGGGAACATCTTGGGCGAACTAGGCAACCGTCCTGTAAGAACTTCAACTCCAGTGTCGGTCACCTGCAAAACAAGATCTGGGGTAAGTAGTACATTCAAAGTGCCCCATCTCTTTAGCAAAAAGTCATAGTTGTTGAACAAAACAATTGAGATAGTATATCTACAAATCAAAGTGACATGTAAAAGTTTAGTTGCTTGGCGTCTTGAAGACGATAAAGAAATCAGTGATTCAATGGACATGACTCTCATTCAACCCATGTCGAGAGCTTTCACGTACAAGGGAAATTTTTGAAACTAGTTCAATGGAGACACTTCATGCATCTTATATCAAGGCGAAAGGGATTGTATAGCAATAATTTTAGGCATAGCATTGATCAAAAATCACAAATACAAGGGTAGCTAGCATAGATCCATGATATCTTGTTTCAAAACATGATACCAGCGTATATCTTTTCAAATCACATATTTATAATTGTTAATTATAAGTATCCATTATTGCGAGATTTAGCAAAGTGCCACATTAATTATATTTACAATCAGAATCTCAAAACAAAAGAAGAATTTATGGTTGTAAAAACGAGTAAAATAAAAGGCAAAACAAAAGTATAACCACTTGGATTTTTATAGCCTATATACAGTGAGTACGACTTCTATAAATTCGTTTTTTACAATCACTATTCTAACCACAAAATATAAGGCCATTAATTCATTTTGTGCAAAATGATAATTCAAGTACAAATGATATTTCGAGTGGAAAACCTAGTTGTATTCTAAGGTGGTTTGACGTTGACTTAGACCTTCGAATTCAAAGAGTGAGATTATGCAAGTTTCAGGAAGAGAACTTAAATTTTTCGGCTTCTTGCTTGGGCTGAAATGTGGGGACCCTGCCATGCAAATATCTAAGCATCTTTTGGGGGCAAAATACAACTCCAAGACCATCTGAGACCCAATAATTGACAGGCTTGATAAGATATTGGCATCTTGAGAAAACAGGTATCAATCAAAAAGTTGCTAACTCACTCTTTTGGCAAATGTACTCTCAAGCTTACCAAAATACTGTATCTCTTCTGTTTTCTAGAAGTGCCAATGTAGCATACATTTTGGAAAAATCAATTAGGGCTTCCTGTGGTGGACTGGAAGAAAATATGCTCACCTAAAGCTGAAGAATTATCATTCTGGTATAGTATGCTATAGTTACTGCTTAGTAGACAAGAGCCCATCTCATCTCATAGAGATTCAAGAACAAGGCTGTGGGATCATAAGGGAGCATTCACAACTAGCTCAGGCTAAACAACAACAAAAATGGCCCCTTTCCTTGTAAAAGTGTATGGCAGTCAGCAGCACCTTCTAAAGTTAGCTTTCTGGGTTCAGACTGCTTGTTGTAGATGCCTCACAGTTGACAACCTCAATAAAGGAGGAATGGACCATACAAAAATCACTTGCCTTTTATGCTCCCAGGCAGAGAAGAACCCTATCAGCTTTTTCATTCCTTGTAAAGTGGCTGCTGCAGTTGAGAGGCATCTCTTGGAGACTTTCAAGGTGCAATTATTGTTTCTTGAGACCCAAACACCATAAGGTTGGCAGTTAAGGGTCTGAATAGAGAAAGAAAACTCCTTGGGCTTCACAAAAATGACAGCATTTGTATTTACACTCTTCAGTCTTCCCAAACTGGAAATAGTGCAAATACAAATATGTACGGTACAAAGCCTTGTATTGTGTATTTCTATTTTAAACCTGTAATTGCACCATACATATTTGTATTTGCACTCTTTCCACACTGAGCCTTAAGCTCAGTTTGGAAGGAGTACAAATGCAAATATGTAGAGTACGAAACCTTATATTTTGTATTATTTTGTATGTATTTGTATTGTACATATTTGTATTTGTACTCCTTGCAAACTGAGCCTTAGGCTCAATTTGTTTGCAGTAGAAATGAAATTTGCAATAGTGTAATATACACATGGGAGTGCAAATGGGATGAAAGCAAATTATGGTCGGATTTAGAATCAAGTTCAACTTTGTTTTGTTTGTATTTGACAAGTAAATAGGAAGTAGAGTGATGTTATCCCTAACTTCTTTCAAAGAGAATGAAGGTAGGAGAAAAGTTTTTGTTTGGGAGGATTAAAATAAGAAGCAAAATGATATAATCCCCATTCTGAACCATCAACAATTGTCCAATTATAATATTCTCTGAGTTAATTAACTATTCCAACTAAAACTTTTGGTGGAAACTGAAGAGACTTATCACCTCACTTATGCCTATCCAGAAACCTTCTCTAGTTGGTTGTTACTCGTTAGTCTTCAATATGTATACGGAGGGTGAGGGAGGCAGAGACTCAGCCACCCATTAAATCCAGTTTCTGCCCCTTTCTGAACAAATTGCCCAATTAAATAACAAGCCAAAAAACAGTGGAACCCCAGCCGTAATGTACAGATTCGTACACATTGTGCACTTCCCTCTCCCTCTATCTCAAATGTGAAGAAAAAGTAAAACCCAAGTACAAAAGTAATCTAGCAGATTCATGCAATCAGGTGGAGCAGGTCTTTTATTTAATTGTTCTTGATTACTATATTATCACAATCTAGGGACAAAGAGACCAGAGTTGTGCTGGGAAAGCATTGACATGCCTGGATTGTTGGTAAAGTTTCTGAGATGGATGTGGTTTCAACCACTGCCGATATTTTTGTTAAGTTGTTTATGAAGGGCTGTTTCGAGGAGGTACAATTATTATAATTAGAAGTTAAAAGCTAATTATAAATTACATTTTTTAAACAATTATTATTAGAAATTGGTTGTGTTGAAGGGAGGTATTTTGGTTTCTGTTTCACATTTGCTCATTTCCCTGGCTTTTTGTTTTTCCTTTTTCTCACTCATCTCTTGGTTTCTAAAGTGGGTTTTGGGATTTTTTTTCCTTTCCTTTTTCGTGAACATTAAGAGTGTACTGTTCCAGGAGATTTTTTTCTCTAATGCTTGCCATTTTATGTTTTTTCCTTCTCTGATTTCTTTGTTTCTTCTCTGGGTGCCTGAGTTTCTATTTGCATTCAGTATTTCTTTCTTTACTCTACTACAGTAAACTTTTATCTGGATGAGTTTTGTTTAAGTGGGTTTATGTGGGAGTGGTAACTGACGCTTGTTTTGGGAAATGAGATTTATGAGGGCTATCTATTTGCTTCCCTGTCATCTTTTAAGAGATTTGGGCATTTGGTTGGTTGATAAGAAAATTAGATGACACCTGAAGGGCATTTGCGTCCTTTCACATGTCACTTAATGTTGCTTAATGATTTTGGACTAAACTGGCAGTTTGGGAGTTCTCGTACTGCAGTAGCACGTTTTCAAGTTCAGGTACTAAACTGAGACTACCCCTAAGGTACAGGGTACTAATCTGGAATTTACCCTTCTTTTTAATAAAACAGTATCATCTATCCAAAGAAAACAAAGGATGATACAAACTCTTTGCAGGAAGCTCCTGAGAAGCTCCACTATAAGAAGATCAATAAGCCACAAACTTGAGATCATCTATACCTTTATCCTTTTGACTTTTTGTTTTATTTTATTTATTTCTCAAACAGATAAAACAACTTGTATCAATTTCAAACAGTAGCTTAATTTCAAAAACTTAGGTGGTGTTTATGTGTCTTTTGGTCTGCAGGAAGCTCAAAAGACCAAAAATGGTCTTTGCCTGTTCGGTATCGTGTAAACCAAAAGACCCGAAGACAAGCACGGTTGACAAAGACATTACCATGCTTCAAATGAAGCTTTTGGTCTTTCCATGCTGAAAATGGCCTTCTCAGCTGTTTTTAACAGTCCGGTAGACAAAGACATTACCAAACAATCTTGGTCTTTAAAGACAAGACCCAAAATCTCAGTGTGTCTTCTTGCCTACAGGGCTGTTGAAAGATCTATCCAGAAAGACTCGCCAAATGCCACCTAAGTAAGCAAGAACAAAACTCGAAGACAAAAAATCATCATTGCAGTCAAATAGGAATATTCAAAAGGGAAAAATCAATGATACCAGAAAGGCATGGTACCAGAACAGCTATGACCATTCACTTCTTTTATGAAACTGGTTGACTGGATGTAAGTTTTCTGGTATCATGTCTTTCTGGATTTATAGTTAAACCCTATTAAAAATTAAAATTTTACCAGAAGTGTTTGTTCAAATTGAGCACTGCGTTTTCCATCTGCAGTAACAGCTGTCCATCCATCAGGCCACATCCGGTCACGCCAGACTCCTATAAAGGAAAATATTTTAGCATCTATTATCAAACCTAAAAGTGTTAAATACAAGAGCCCATTATTTCCTTAAATTTCATAATGTACCTGCATTGATCATTGGTTCAATGGTAAACGTCTGTCCTGCTTTCATCACACCAACAGCTTTGTTTCCTGTCTGGGTTAAGGTTAGCAAACATAAAACTAAAGGAGAAATCGCTGAGAGCAATGAACCAAATCACAATACATAATCCTAAGTTGGCATTTGGCACTAAATAACACAGGTTATTTTTCTGAGAAGATCCACAAAACAAAAGGAATATGTAAGGAAAATAATAGGCTGCTTTGTAACTTGTAAGGATACTTCCATAATGTGGAATATTAGGGGCACAGTGGAACAGTTCTCCAATACCGTGACCACAGTATGATTTCACCTGTTTTACAAGATCCCATAGATAAGAATGTGACAGATATTTGCTGGGTTACTTTAAGAGAAAAGGTATCAAGTCATGATTGCAAAAAATGTAGGCATATTACCACAGAGAACCCTGACATTGAAGCATGTCGATTAATGACTTCCCCCACTTCACGAAAACGTACTCCAGGTTTAACTGAGATCAGGAAAGTACAAAGTTTCAGGATCAGTTTAAATTTCTAACTTAACTTAACAAAACTTTTCCCAAGTCCTAGATAGGCTACATGAAACTCGTTCTACCATTCCACTCTGTTGAGTGCTGTTTTATTGAATGCAATTATTTAAGTTTCTACTAATAGATTAACAATTTATAATAAAAACTAACCAAGCATAAATTCCAGAAATCTGATTCAGAGACCAAGAATGTATGAATTATGAAAGTTTCAACACAAACAAGAAATTATAATGCATTCAATCAATAAGGCCAGGTAATCCCCTCAACAAAAAGGAGGAAAAGGAGGGTTGGGAATTGATTCAGTTATGATGCATCACTCCTTCCAAGAATGAACAATTCCAACGAGTAATAAATATTAATTTGAAGAGGAAAGAAAGTTGCAGAGCATATAATTGAATATAAGTGCATGACTTCTTAAATTCCAAGGCACAACACAACTAAACTCAGAAAAGCCTTATCCTAATTATTTTAGTATCATGATATCATCATCATTACAAATGCAGGGCTGATCCTAACAGCATCTAATTGAGGTGGCTGTAAAAGGTTTGATCAAGCTGGAATTAGACACTACGAGGTCCCCAACTATCTTCCTTTAATACTTGGCTTAAGTATTGGCAACAAAAGGGAGTGGACAGAACTTGGAAGATTTCCAGAAAATAAGAAAACAAGGGGAAACACTACTGAAACATGCATAAAAATGGTCTGAAATTGCTAGTGAAATGTTTAGGAAATGACCAATGGGGGTGACTGTTGAACTACTATCAGAATATTGCATAACTTAGCAGTCAGTAATGAAAAATAGCAGAAATAAAAGGAAAACAATGAGGTAAGAAGAGAAAAGAACAAGTGGAGAAGGTTATTGATGATTCAACAATGAAAAGAGAAAGTATGAACAATAAAAAAAGAAAATCTAAGATAATAACACAGATTCAATAACCTAGTACTCAACAAAGAAATGTATCTGTTGTAAAAAAAGATCCTAATGGAATCAGCACTGCTAGATTTCTCTAAGGCTGTGTTTGTTTTTAAGGAAAAGGTAGGGATACAAACCTTGTATAGGTTTCCCTAACTTTTCCTTCAAACCAAACAAAGCCTAAGTGACAGCACCTAGAGATGTATGTCAAAAAAAAACACCTAGAGATGGATTTAGCACCATCAGCTTAGATCCAGTACCTGCATTTTAATCCATTACCTATTAAACCAAATTTAAATAGGGTAAGAAGCTTGTAAAAAATAGAATGTTATACTGAAGAAGCACAAGACCTTTAGACCAACATTACCCAAGAGAAAAAAATTTATTGTATTAATCGATAAGATCTATGCATCTTTATATCCCCACGAGAAAGTCCAACTTGTAACCTTTTTATCATATTCAGTTATGAAGCCATAGGAACTGAAAGTGCCTAGATTTCCATATGCAGCTTGCTCTGATATCCTGCAAGTCATAACCTTGTCCAATGCAATGCAGTACAAAGTTATATATTCTTTAGTCTTAATTTTTCTATGCATTGTAGCTAAATTTGGAGTCTTAAGATTATGTGATTAATAGAATTTACTAATTGAAAAAAAAAAGTCATGGTGCTGAATACTAACAGCAATATCAAATGGGAAACCATTAGTTTTAATACTAAGATGAATAACAAACACGTATGTAACACATGAATCAAATGCATACCTATAGATATAGCTTTCTCCAGGCACTCGTAAGTACATTGAACCAGCTGCTTAGATGCTTCATCAACATTTCCCACAAAGTATGTCTCATTAAGATCCCCTGTATGGTTGTCCAAAAAATAGTCAAATATAAAGCTTTTCAGAACATATCAGCATGCTATCCAAATGAATCAATGACCAACATAAAGCTTCTTACCATGGACACCTTTATAATAGACAGTCACATCGACATTTACAATATCACCGTCCTCCAATCTCCTATAAGAAAAGGACTAATGGGTGAACACACCAGATGAGAAAGAAAATATTGCAGGCACCAAACAAAGTATAACTGAGGCTCCATTTTATGGATGTGTCTGGTTAAATGAGAAAGGTAGAATTGATCACATAGTTTTCAAGGCGCCAAGGCGAGGCTAGGTGACAGGGGGGGGGGGGAGTGCCTTGTTGCCTAGGCAATGGATTTTTTTTAAGTAAAAACCACATATCCAGGGTAGTTCCCTAGGTTCCATAACCATCTTTCCTTAACAACTATCCATAATTTTCATAAGAAAATTAGAAACTTCATGTTTAAGTCTAGAAAATCAACATATTTATGAGAAGAAAAAGAAGAAAGAAAAGAAAATTCAAAAAAGTATAGGGGCTGAACCCCTGTTTTTGTTATAGGAAAAGAAGAAAAGAAAAGGTGGAAGAAGAAGACGTAGAAGAAGAAATGTGTTGGTTAGACAAAATTTTAAGTTCTTCCCTTATTGGTTCAGATTTTGAAGATACTGAGGGTTCAATACAGCAGTTATCAATGTTTGTGTTGACTAAACCCTAACAAACAAGAAAATAATAAAAAGAAATTAGTTTATAAAAACAAAATGAATATTTTTGTTTAATAATGTCTATTTTATAATTATAATCACAAAAAAATAACAATATAAAAGTATTTTATAAGACAGTATATAAAACTGCTTGGTGACTGGGTGAGGTGAGCCTCCAAGGGCAACTTGTCACCTAGGCACCTAACTAGGCATCGCCTTGACAACTATGATTGATCATTATCTGGATCAAGAGAAGGTGCAGTCTTGGGGAAACATTCTGCGTATCCTGTTTCCCCTTGCTTTGTCCCAGACTATTTGCAAGGAACAGAATAGGCAGATGCTTGAAGACAATATTTTCAGTTCCTATGTTTCTGGTTTTCCATTACAGTAGAGGTTAAGAGGGAAAGCAAATTTGATATGTCCAGCACAGATTGGAAAAAACAAATCTCAATCAATCATTCTTTTCTTGTATGTTTTTCCTTTATCCTTCTGATTGCTTACTAGATACAATTATACATGCAACTTTTTTATTTGATGAATAATTACACATGCAACTTTGGTTCATCAGTTCAGCCCCTTAAATCCTCATCAACAAATACATTTATGTCTATAAAAAGAAAAGACATTAAACTATTTTTTATACTTGAGAATTATCACCCCATTGTCTTTAGGATTCAAATATTCTTACATGGATTACACCATGCAGCACCCAAAATCAGGCGCAAAGGCCTGATCAGTTCTTTTTTTTTCTGATCAGCAAGGGCTGAGTGGTTATTTAATCCGTAACCAGATCAGAAACCATGACTGTGGTGTCTACTATTTCTCCAAGCATTTGGGGAGCATTGTAGTATTGTTTTTCTCTTCTAACATCAATGGAATTCAATGTTATTTATTTAAAAAATAATATATACCTGGCATCTGGAATTCCATGACAGATGACTTCATTAACAGACCTGCAACCAACAAGATGAACGATACAGTAAAAGAAAATTCCTTAGGTGAATGCTTTTACATATTCTTGGACAAAATTTAAAATTGAGGCTTGGTTAAATGAGACATATAGTAAAGAAATACCTACGTGCAGCAAGATTTTGGGAAGAAATGATAATTTAGTGGAGATGGGTATCCTCCTGAAAAGCCAACAAAACAGAACTTATTATCCAAAAACATTATAGAACAGTAGCTATCACAATAAATGAATATTATTTCTAATCACAACAAATTATGGCAATAGTAATAGATAAAAGAAAACAGGAAAAAGTTGAGAAATCCCACAAATTATCATATCAATAATATATATACCCATGTAGATCTGGGAAAAAGTTGACCCAACCCGAGAACCCGACCCAACCCTACCTGAAAAAAGAGGGTTAGGGTCCAATATTTAGCTACTAATTGAATTTGAGAATGACCCAACCCGGCCCCGCCCGGAAAAAACTGAGTTGGGTTGGATTGGGTCATGGGTCAACCCGCTGACCCAATTGTCAGGTTTTATTGGGACTTTTTATGCAATGTTAGAGGTTTCCACTCTTTAATTTTTATTATTTAGTCTTTACTCTTTATTGTTTTTGTTTACTCTTTAAATTGTTAATTTTCAAGCTTCTTTACTTTATTTTTGAAATTCTAAGGTTAATTCCTTTAATTTTGGCATTTTCATGTATTTTCTCTTTATTTTTTAAAATTTCAGTTATTTTTTGGGATGACCAGAATTGACCCATAGGTCAACCCTAACCCGAACATTTAGGGTTAGGGTGTAGCATCTGACAACCCAACCCGAAATCAACCCAAAGTGCCTCTGGGTCTAGCATCTGACAACCCAGCCCGAAAGCAACCCAAAGTGCCTTTGACCCAACCCGAACCTGACCCAGCCAACTCAATTGCCAGGTCTATACCCATGTCTTCTGAGAGAAAATGTTGGGACATCTTTTTCTTTGCCTTTGGGATGGGAGGAATTGGTGCAAAAAAGTTGTATTAGTGAGAGTGACAGAGAGAGAGAGAGAGAGGAAATGCAACAATATAAGAAGAAAAAGGGCAGTAAAATATTCCATGCCTTAATACATATTCAATCTGAATACCACATGCTTATAAAGAAAATCTGTGAAGTCATTTCCCAGTTGTACTAGAGAATAAAATGTTGACAACTAAAAGGAATAAAATGTTTAAATAGGATGCCACTTTTAAATTCCTTTAGATACAGGCGAGTTGTGAAGTTTCCAATAAATGCACCCTTGTCTTATTAGCAACCACATTCCTCAACTTATTCATTCGCACTATTTAATAATTCCTTCCAATATAAACATCCTTGCTGACAGCATTATTAGCATCTATTTATACATCCTGAGTATAATACCTACAAGGAAACAAGCCTTCCATATTATCTAAACAAATGGGCTACCATTGTTCCACATGGAAGGATTGGTTTGCTACATACCAGTGTAGAACTGAAATGTTTAACACTGTCAGATGAGTGTGGGGCAGCTGAATTGCATGATAATTCCATGTGACATGACAGCCATGTTTAGTGTGATGTATCTTCAATCATGTGGTGTAAGCCCACATCCACACCTGTGGGCATATAGTAGCATACTTGTAAAAACTAATTCAGACTGCCATAATGTGAACACATATTTCTTTTTGTTGGAAAAAGGTAGGTTGTTTCTCAAAAAGATATAATACAATCAAGACTAGCTTACTGTGAATTGTACTATCCAAACACAACAAACTCCTTCCATCTATTCCTCTTGCTAGCCTATCTACAGGTGTGTCCATGTCCATGGACCTTAGGATTCTTCTAACAGGTTCATTTTTTATGCCAAAGATCTTGCTTTTTTAATTAAATGTTGAAGAACCAAGTGGCCATCCAAGGAAGAAAGCATCCGTCTAAAACCACCTAGTACTTGCTCTTAATATGAATTCTCTATAACCCTAAGGACTACCCTCCCTTCAGCCCTTGCAGGAATGCTAACGGATCTTCCTTATTACACACCCCACCCCAATTGACCCTGATCCTCACCTTATCCCCCTCTAGAAGGTCATGCACTGTTACAGAGCAAGTACCTAGCAACACTTTATCATCCTCTAATAATTGAATTTATTGGAATAACTCTTCTCTTTTCATAAATGGACAACTCTGTTGGTAACAAAATCAACAATGATGCCAGCTTCCAATTGTCAAAAAAAAAGAAAGAAAATAAACAATAATTTCAACTTGGTGCTTCTATTCATTAAAATATCTACAGCTCCTCTCCTCCAGACTAAATCATAATATTGCAACTTGTATGAACCACCATATACTCTGAGGGGTTATATCTATGATCTCAAACAACTCAATGATGTCAGAATGAGGATCACATCATGAACCAGATAAGGGAATATTCCATGGATCATCACAAAAAAGGTAAAGAGACAAGATTGGCATTCTCATCAATCTTATTATGGGATGCATCATGCATGCAAGCATCAAGCCTTCCATTCTTTGTTTATGAACCTCACCAGTATTGATAATCTCAACTTAAGGAAAATTTTACAATAAAAGGCTCTGATTTTTCCCTACTGTATAACTTATACAAGCAAGTGCTAAAGCCTTTCTAAAGCCAAAATCTCATCGGAAAATGAAAAGAGATAAAGATATCAAAACAGATGGAGATAGATGTTGACAGCGTTCCAGCTGCTCATATGAAGCTCTCCCTTGCTCTTGATAATGCAGCACCGCATACTCCAATCTTCCTTCAAGATTCTCCAATAAACTCTTCTCTAGGAGAAATATATTCCCCGTCTTTATCTATTGTAGCTTTTCCTGTATCTAAGACCACTTCTCTACATTTTCTGGTACTTATCTGTTAGGTAGAACATAATAGAGTTCCTAAAAAGCTAGTAACCCCAGCCCAGACTCATCAAAAAATAAAGGTCCATGTGTTGAGGCAAATAGGAAGAAAAATTAAATACAATCTTTCAAAACATTGCAAAAGCAGAGTACTAGTGGCCCACTGGGCCCTGGCACTGGAGATATCAAGCAATTTAATATAGATCCAATAATCAAGAGTGTGCAACAACAAGCAGATCCAGCCCCTCTCACATGATTGTATAATGCAACAATGATTGAACTTCTTTCTCTCAATCAAGTCACCAATTCCTAGAAATTACTACCTTACTGGAGTTATTTATTGAATAACACTCAGCTTGTGAATAGATATGGAATTGGTCTAGATCATCGTCCTAGAAATTATGCCATAGGTCGAAGAGGCTAGATCTTTAAAAGGCCTGTTTTCTGGGGATATTTAGGGTGAAAGGTTGCTGCTCAGCATCAGTTGAAGATTTCTTTCATGGATGGGCATGTACAGGGGATTAGAAAGAGAGGCAAAACTGGTTGCTAGCATGTTGTCGTGGACGTTCTTCCTATTTGACTAATGACTACTTCAACCGGCACATCAAATATTGTTCTACCTCTGGGGTAAGGGTGAACTTTTGGGAAGACCTTTTCTGGAGAAATATGCATCATTTGCCTTTCCACCTTATTTACCCTAGAATCTTTGCCCTGCCATATATATATATATATATAGTGACATAGGCCCAAAGCTGAACCTAGGCTATAGCCCTTATCGTAGGTGCTAAGCCCAGCCCATTATTATAAATAACTCCTACCACTAGACAGCAGGTCAATGCCAAGTGGACTACCCCTGAACAAGGAAAGGTACAACTTTGATGTTTCTGTGTAGCTAACACAGGAGTTTCGAATATAGAAATGATTAGGGATATTAGGGGAACATCAAGGTTCAAAATGTCACAATGTATCAGTTTTTAAACCCACCAACACACTATTTTAAACCCCCTCCAAATGTACTTATCCAGTTACTGTGAATACAAGGCTGAACAAATAAAATAAAAGAGTATTTTCCCGTTGAAAAATTGCAATACATAATTTTTTACATATCATGAGCATTGATACTTAGAAACATGGGGATATCATTTTAAGCTACTTCTGGCAAGCTGGAATTGGAAACTATCAAGGACTTTAAGCGTCTGTTTGGCATCGATGCGGCTGCTCCAGAAAACAGTGACACATCAGCGCCACGTCAGAAAAAAATGGTGTTCCAGGAAACGCCTGTTTGTTTGGAACCGTTTTTCCATAAAAAACGGTGCTCCAAGCCACACCTTGAAAATTGAGAAGGCATGGTTTGGAGCAATGCCGAATTTGGCATTTTCTCGGATTGCAACTTATTGCTGCCAACGAGGACATGATGTGGCAGTGACGTAGACTTCATAATATGGGTACCAGTGCTGAAAACAGACATGGAGCACTAGTACCAAACAGAAAGTGTTGATTTTGCTCCAGGAAACGTCCTACCTGGCAGCAACGCTTCCAAACAGAAAAAAAAAAGACACTGTTTCTCAGAAAACAGTGCTTCCAACCCACACATCAGCAGCACCGTTTTCCAGCATCGATGCCAACATATACTTTAATAGGATCAAAGTTTGATTCTTCAGCAGGGTGGGCAAGTATGTAAGTAGATGGTGATTTACCAAGCAGTGATAAACTGGTTGAAAAGTAAAGCAAAATGTTAATTGGGCCTTGCGTTTCTTGGTAATACATGCCAAGGCCATGGCCTCCAACTTGAACTACTTGTTCAAGTGGATCCCAAGAAGTGCAAACAGAATGGCAGACAGCTGATTAGCAAGGTCGGGTATCTAGGACAGTTTAATGTGGGATGAACCAGGACCAAGGGGAACATTGTAAACCTGTCATGTCAATGAAGAAAGATGACTTTGTCAGCTTAGGCTGTGCTATAACTGTCTGCTTGTACAGTTTTATCTCTCAATAAATAAATAAATATATATATATAAAGTATTATTGCTTATCCAAAAAAAAAAAGGAACATTTTGTAACCTGAGGGATCATAGAGCAGAAAACTCTTCAGCAAATCTAAACACACTATATCAAAGACCTCAATGCCAAGCATAATCATGAAGAGGATTCTCTCCTTGGCACTAATTGACCCCTATATTAAAGAAAGGATGGAGGGATGCTTCTCTTCCTTGAGTAAAAATTATAATGTAAAGAAATAGTAGCTTTTGGTTCTCAGATTTGAGGATATGGATTTGGGAGTGGCTCTTGGTCCATGGGCACAATCAG